ATGGTTATGAAGAAATTTATGGAAACAAAAAAGGGTAAAAAGACTATAATGTGAATAATGGCTATCTTATTGCTGGAATTAGGTGATTTTTCTCTCTTTGCTTTGTATTTTTTTAATCTTTTCCAAATGTTCCATGATAAATATGTAATGTTTTTTCCCCCCAAAACAGTAAAAATTTTAAAGGAAAAACCCCCCCCCCCCCACACACACACACAAACATACACAGAAAGTACTAAAGATGGCTGAGTATTTCCAGAGGTTTTTTTTCCCCCAGGAAGAGAAAGTTTTTTGGATCTGCTCACTATGATTTGTGCTAACATAATGCAGAACAAAGCTTTTCCATGAGCACATGTTCCATAGAGTAGATGCATATTGGAATAATTTTACATTCCGCTCTCTGTAGAAGATCAAGTGAATGAATAGAAGCTAACCCCCAAGTGAAAACAGCTCTCCGGAACCCTTGTGTGTTGTAATACAATACAGATGTTGGTCTATTTCTAATGTCAATGCCAAATGTACGTTGATCTAATGGGACAACATGCTTTATTATAAACACATTTAAACAGGCATATGTTTCATATTGGCATGTCAAAAAATCCATCAACAATTTAGTCATAGTATTTCATTCTCCATAAACTAGTAAATATTCAGATAAAACAAATATTATTCTTTATACCAGCTGATATAAGCACAGTGAAACTTCATATGTTCAATCCCTATTCATCTGAATATATTATTTTTCCAGATCTTTTTTTGGTTTCTATCCAGGACATTGAGAAGATTAATAAATGAACATCCAAATATTTTTATGTATTTTCTGTGTGGGATGTTTTAATCAAGTGTATATTAAATTTTTGTGTCTTTGTAGTATAATAAGGGTATATTCTCCATTTATTATAGTAGAAATTATATATGTCAGTTGACTTTAGATCAAAGGATACATTAGAAAGCCTTTATGTGATTGAATTAGTGTCTTAGAATTCTTTTACTTGATTTAGTTTTCACTTGCAGAGTCCATTTGAAATGGCAAGTATTTTCTCATTATACTGAGATATTATGTATGAAAATATGTTATCTTAGATTTGGAAACCAAAAAAGCAGTTTCTTCATATATTTGAACTTGCATCTTATTTAATTTTTAATTCTCTGCATTATTATTTTGTGTTTTATCAGAAACACTGATTTGCTTTGGCTCCAGGCCTATTTTAGGATTATAGAATCATTCTCTACAGATTTGGTTTTTACCTCTTCACTCCACTAGATTTTAGATTCGAGATTCAGGGTAGTACGGTGACTTCAAGTGGTAGAAAGGGAGGTGGCCAAGCTTTCCATTGTGTGCCTCAGTGTCCTTGGCTTTAAAGCACAAAGATTGGACTAAACTTCTGAATTCCTTCTAGCTTCTAACATTCCATGAGTGTGAAATAAGACTTCTGGTCTAAAGGGAAAGGGGGAAAAATAAGATAGTCAGGTCTTCTAGGCTCCCCAGTTGAAATTTTTAATTTTATTTTTATTTTTTATTTTACTTATTATTTTTGGTGGCTGTCTAGTGCAGGGATCCAAACACGACCTTGGTGTTATCAACACTGTACTTTAATCAACTGAGCTAACCAGCCAGCCCTCCAATTAAAATTTTTAGATAACATACCACATACTTCCTCCAGTTATTTTAAGGAATTGATCACATTCATCCCCAAAAGTTTTCAGTTCAAGTAACTGATGCTATATATATGATTTTTCTCTCACATGGTAGTTTGAGTAAATGGAAAAAGAATATTTGTTACTAAGCGTTTATACTTAGGAACATATTACATACCAAGTGGAAGATTGCTTCTGGGTTTTTTCGTTTGCCTGTTTTTGTAAGAAAAGCAGAATTCATTGTCACTTGAGCAGATATTTTTAGGGGTATGTGGAATAAGTAAATATTTAGTGCCAGGCACTTTGCAGGATGTCTTTCCTATATAATATAATTTAATCTTTAAAGCAACTAGAAGAGATTTTTTTTTTTTTTTTTTTGAAATGCAGCAACTGAGGTTTTTTTCTAGTGGTACAGCTAGCAGTTGGCAGAATTAGGATTAGAATAAGGTCTCCTGGCACCAAACCTGGACTCTTTGCAACACGTCTTTGAATGGAGTGTACAGAACACTCCTGCTGGGTCTGTCTGTATTTAGGCACACACAGAATTACTGGGCAACCAAAGATGTTAAGAGGGTTTCTGTTTTGGGTAATAGAGTTTCTTATGATGCTTAGGTTCTGTGATTCTTTGTTCTGTGTTTCTAATAATACAGAAATCGAATACTTGAAGAATTATTTTACTCTAGGTAGCGATTCGTAAGTATCATATTCATAAAGATTAAAGGAAATAATACTTGAGTGCACAAATATTCTCCAAAAGAATTAGAGTTTTTGTTTTTTTGCAACTGACTGGTACCAGGATCCAAACATTTGACCTTGGTGTATCAGTACCATGCTCTAACCAACTGAGCTAACTGGCCAGCCCTTCTCCCCTTCTTGTATGTTACACTCTGCCTCACCAAAACGTGCCCGTGTAAAACCACCTTAATTTTCTGTGCTTAGGAGAGATTAAAGCTGTACAAGTAATGAAAATTCACTCCAGTGTTAAGACTCCGAATTATCACTTGATTCAAATTCCTTTCTTTTTAATAATGCTACCTAATGTTATCTAATTAATTAGAGTATTATCTCCCTATTTTCTCTTTTCTCTCTCTCTCTGTTAATGAGAAGTAAAATGTCCAAGAAGCATAAAGGAAATGAAAAGAACCAAAGTTGGATATCCAGTGGATAAATGGTCCTTAAATAATTAAGTTAATTTCATATATAATTGAACAATTTATTGATTTACATATCTTGGTTGGAGTGAATAGGCCCTGACTGTGTGTAGTTAATCATTTGTCTTCTCACTTTTCTTAAAATTTATAGAATCATCTTGCGATTTGAAAGTTAGAGTCATTTTTAAGACATTTGCTGGGCCAACCAGGAAAACCTCTAATTAGATACAGAGAAACCAAGTTCATCCAACTAATTTCCAGAGCCAGCTCATAGATCAGCATTGTCTGTCAAAGGATAGATAGCTTCTGCTTTTTATCAAATCATCCAAGGTTGACTCTAACTTGGAACTTGTCACCAAGACAGGGTGAAATTGCTTGTTTGAACTGGCTTCATGGAAAACATCACAATATGAGATATATATCCTGAAATTGTAAAAGTATAGTGGTCCTCTATCACAACTATATTTAGGAATAACACCTTACCATGTATTGCTTATGCTTATATATATTTGTTTTAATGCTTTAGGAAGTTGGATGCTAACAGAATTAGAAATACATAGATAATCCTCAAACTCTATTTAAATTCCTGCTTCTTCTATTTTTTCCCCCACATATTTAAACTAGAAGAATTTAAAATAAGCAAACAGCCAATTCCAATTTAATTTGCTTTCTTGTTTCTGTTCGTTATCTGTTAAACATTCTGATTTTTTTTAAAAAAAAAGTTAAAATGGCTCTGCCTAAAGGCTGAAGAATAAAAGGGAGGATCCTACAAAGAAGGGGGAGATGGAAATCTGAACAATTGCAAAATTTTAAATATACATCTAAATATATCTGTGATTAGTGATTGTATCTCTAGATTTTTAAAATTATGGTTCATTTGTTTTTGTTTTCTCTTCTCCTTCTTCTTTTTTTAAAACAATCTGAAAGGTAACCATGGAGGATTTCAATAAATCCCTCAGACACTCAGAAATATCCCACAAAATTTTGGGGGTATGGTAAATTTTTCAACTAGAATTTAATTTTTAATAACATCCAATCTGTCATACTTCACAGCTGTCAATGTTTAGCGTTTTAGTGGTGAGATGATATAATTCTGGTATATGTTTTGTGTAGCCTGTATGTACATTATATGAGGGTACTTCAAAAAATTCATGGAAAAATAGAATTTAAAGGTAATATAAATCTTTTCATGAACTTTTTGAAGTACCCTTGTAGGTATTCTATTAGAGAGCATTATGCAATTTGAAGTGCTGTGAGCTCAGACTGGAAATGCAATATGAACTGGTAGTGTACTCTTTTTTGCATTAGAAAATTGATATGGTCATTGACGTTTAAATGAATTATTCTATATGCAGTTTTTAAATTATGTGATTATTTGGCTTCCTTAAATACCACTTTAAAACACAGTGTTTATTACATTGCAAAGTCATAGGTTATATATGGCATTTTAAGTTCTCTTTAGGCAGTAGTTCATAACAAGTTTAATCATCACTCCAGAATCTAAAGCCCTTTCTCTTAAAATATAATTTGGTCATTCTTTTATAATTTGTTTTCATTACTGGAAATTAATGTTATTATAACAACATTATAGGAACATTATTTTTTAGAATCTTTTAAAGTATTGAGTATACTTTAGAGCAGCTACTACAATGGATATGCATTTTTATTGCTTGTGTTAACATGTAATAATTAGAGGCAAAAATATGATGGAGGCTATGGTTTGCGTAAGTATTAAAAGGTTTGTAAGAATATAATTTTTATGTGAAAAGTATTAAAGGGATAATATTAAATTTGACTCATGCTGTTTGCTGTTCCTGGTTGGAAACCACTTGTGTGAACAAGATACTGAAATTATTATGGATGGCCTTTAAATAACGTGAATTTAATAATGTATATAGACTTTAAACTGTGTCTATAATGTTAAGAAACTAAGAGTGGGGCATTTTTCCCAAGGTGCCACAATATGCTCTTAGTATTTGACAGTGTATGTTAACAGCAAGCACTGGAACTTCACTGTTTTTTTGATTCTTTATCTTCCTGGTTGGAAACCACTTGTGTGAACAAGATACTGAAATTATTATGGATGGCCTTTAAATAACGTGAATTTAATAATGTATATAGACTTTAAACTGTGTCTATAATGTTAAGAAACTAAGAGTGGGGCATTTTTCCCAAGGTGCCACAATATGCTCTTAGTATTTGACAGTGTATGTTAACAGCAAGCACTGGAACTTCACTGTTTTTTTGATTCTTTATCATTAGGCTGCTTTTTTTTAGGGAAAAAAAAAAAAAAAAAAAAACCTTCTTTAATTTTTTTTGTCAACCATTTTAGAGCACTGTGGCTGAATTGCAAGGAGTGTCTGGCAACTGCAATAACAATAACAACTATTTCCTTAAGGTTTGTTTTTTTGGTGGAAAATAATGCTTATCTGTACTTTCCTACTTCATGTGTGAAATTAAATATTCTGTGTGTCTTATTAACTATCTCTGTGCTCTGAAGAGCTTCTCTAGAGCCATGTGTTTTGTGCGTTGACAATAGTTTGAAAGTAAACATTTGAAAAAATTACACTTAGCACACATTTTAGGCACAGGTTCTGCTGTTTGGACTTATTTCCTAATATCTAGCCATGGATGTTTTAAACCTGTAACAAATTAAAGGAGAAAAAAGAGATATCCAACAACAGGGCTGTATGATGTTTACACAATACAATGTATATAGTGATTTATAGTGTCTTTAAGTCCAGTATGTTTTTCTTTTTTTTTAAAGAACCTTTTCATAGAAAGGTCCCAATTTTTCAAAACACTAAATGCATATATATTTAACTACAGCAGTATTTGCATGATTTATATAGTAGACATACCAAAATGTCTAAAAAGGTATTACACTTTAAATAATTAAATAATCCTTATATATCTTTGGTTGCCATTAATAGAGATAGCTTAAAAGGATGTGTTTTAAAGGTAGACTGGCTTATGTGATTAGAGAAACCTGAAGAATAAGAGAAACAGAACCTTTCTAACAGCTGTTCACAGACTCCAATTTAGATCTTTTAAATTATTAAATTTGATTACATTCTTTTGTTTGTGATCCCCAAATCTATGATAACGGTCATGTCACTGAAACTCAGAATCATAAAGTGCTTGGAAAACATTCAGCTGAAGAATGTGATGTAGCTTAAGCAATGTACACACACACTCCACACACATATACACACATTCACTGTCCCCACAAGGTGGATATCCTCCTCTACTTGAAAGGTCCCCTCTGGAAATATTCTTTGTATGTAGAGACATTATTATATATAACACTAAGAATAGACAAGAAGATAGGTAGTGTCAAGGGGAGACAGAGGTTAGGAGGAATCTTCACCTAAACAGCGTTATCTTTTTGTAGTTCATTTTCTTTATTTTTTTAATTATAATGCAAGTGATTTGAATATGTTTTCTTATTATTTTCTTTCCAACTGCGACATTGTGATATTATTTGCTCATGAGCTAGATACAAAATACCAAATAAACTTTATCAGATTATTTTATGTCATTAAATTTCTCTAAAGTATGGACTTTGTACTACCCAGAAACCATGCTAGAACAATTCTATATTACAGTGATTCACCACAGAGTTTACAGTGTTAAAGAGATGTCATAGAAACAAACACAAATGACAATATTTGTTTGAAAACATTTTTATTTTTAAGTTGAATACAATTCTTTATCAAGAAGTTCTAAAATGCTAAAAGGCACAGTTAGCGATGGACCTGGCTAGAATGGGAAACAGACTTACGTTCCTGTGGGCCATAGGGATACCCTGATTTCCCCATGCCTTTGCTTTTCCTGTTTTCTCTACCTTGAATGTCATTCACTACACTGATTCTTTGTTGCCTTTGTATGTGCACTTAATCCTGTTCACCTTTCAGAGTTCTGTTTAGGTTTCACCTCCTCCACAAAGCCTTTTTGGGCCCTTTCATCCAGCCTAGAGGCCCTTTTAAAAAATGAATCAACAGCAATAGCAATCTCTCTCCATCATTATTTACCCATAAATCCCCCCAAGTAGTTGCAATCTCTTCAATGACAGGTTTCAATGGCTGATTGATTTTTAATACATACAGAGATGAGCATAGTACTGGACAGATTAGAGGAAGCCAAGAAATTGAACTGAATTGAATCATACAAGGAAAGGTTAAGATGAAAATTGGAGAGTAGACTTAAATGTGAATGAAATTTAATCAGAAACATGATCTGAGATAGGGAAGAATGGTTTAGTATACAGGAGTAAGAAAAATGTCAAACCTAGTAAGATTAGAGATTGGTGATAGGGAAAGGACTGAAGGAATAATCTATACTTGCCTTTTGGTGCTGTGTGATTTAGCACCTTTCTTTGGGCTTTTGCTTGATGCCTCATTGTCTTGAGAGATGATGAGTTTATAAGAAGTCTTGTCTCTATCACACTGCACCAAAATCCTCTGCATGTAATACCAGAAGACAATGAATATGCATATTTCATTCCTTGAAAACCTTTGGAACTTTTGAAATAGCAACCTGGTGACTCATGTTGTCATGATTTCTTTTTAGTCATAACCGAATAAACTGACAATGGAAGCAGAATAATCAAAATGGCCCAAGGTATTATGTAGAAATAGTCTTCAGTAATAGAAATACATTTTTGATTTTAAAAATATATTTTCATTAGCAATAAAAACTGACAGGTGACCTGACTAAGAACTAATATGCTAAAGCTGCCTTATCATGGGGATTTTCCAGGATAGTTATTTATTTTAAACTGATATTAATGCTAGTAAGGATGGTAAAAACTCTAATTGAGTTTCAGACTTCCAGTTCCTTAAGGGATTTTAAAAACTTACTTTATTGAGATAAAATTGACAGAGTGAAATGCATAGATTTTAGATGTATAATTTGATAGTTTTTATCTTTATATATCCCCATTTAAAAATCAGTTTTAATGAGGAATAATTTACATATAGTAAAATGCACCAATTTTAAATGTATTTAATAGTTCGATGAGTAACCACCACCACAATCAAAATATAGGACATTTCCATTACCCTGGATAGTTACCGCGTGGAACTTTGCAGTCACTCTTAGCCTAAAACAACCATTGTCTGCTTCCTGACACTATACATTTATTTGTCAAATCTAGAATGTTATTCAACTCAAATCATAAAGTGCTTTTTTATCTCTGGCTTCTTTTGCTCATCATAATGTCATATTTATTCTAAATACTTCAGTGTTTTGGTGATACTGTAATTGGTATCACTTTGAGTTATGGTAGATAAAACCCTGGGCCCACTTCAAGGTGAATGACTAATTGGAGAACTCCATCATAAAGTTGGAATTTCATGGGCTATATACTTCTCTATAAAATGAAAATAAATCTACCACCCTAAGGACTGCATGGAAAATTACCAGTTGGTTAAAATTACCAGTTAAACTTTGGTGCTGAGTGGAAGGGAAGAAAAAATTTTCTCAGAGATATCGTGATCGTAAGCAGCCTGAATTTATGCTACTTTTCAGGAGAGGTGAAAAATCATATCCTTCCTTGGAGCATTTCACCATTAGTCAAAGCCTTAAACTTTCAAGAAATAAGAGTGTACAATTTCAAAGTACAAAACTCACAGAGAAATAAAGCACCATGAATAACAAACAGCAGAGAAAAGAAGGAAGGGAAGAAAACGAAAGAAAGTGAAAGAAGAAAGGAAAGAAAGATATGATTAAAGTCATTTTATTATCAAATATACCAAATTGGAACAAATATCTCCAGTTGCATATAACTTATTCCAGGAGACATAAAAATGAAAGTAGTGTAACTTTGATACCAAGAATGCAGTAATACCTTGAGAATGTAAGATGAATGAGGTAATGAACTTCATACCAAAACCTAATAATGATGAGAAATAAAATTTATAGGTCCATTCATTCATAAAAATAATGCCAAAAAAAAAAATCTAAGGAAAATATTAGCATACCATATCCAACAACATACAAAAAAGATAATACATCATAGCCAGGTTGGGTTTAGCCAGGAATGCAAGTATGATTTAACATTTGAAAATCAGTCACTTCTTGTATTTGTACTGGAGGGCAAGAAGAAGAAATTAAAGAAAGAAATCAGAAAGGAAGAAATAAAACAGTTATCATTCACAGATGATGAGACTGTTAGTTGAGAAAACCTCAAAAGTACCTACAGACGAATTATTAGAAATAATAAAAGATTTCAATAAGTATCCTGGATATATAATTAATATAAAATATAACAACTGTTTCAATGTGTCTACAAACAGGGAGAAAATATAATTTTATGTTACCATTTACAACATATCAAGAAATAAAAGGTAGGCAAGACCTTCATGGAGAAAAAGAAAATTTTATTGGAACAGATTAAAGAAAGCTTCTATAAAAGGACCTTATATAAAACTTTTGGAAGATTCAATAACTTCATTGAATCAGTTTTCTCTAAGTTGATTTATATATTCAATGCAATTCTAGTAAAAATAATTTCAAAGGATTTTTAAATTAAATTTGATAAGGTATTGCGAAGATATATATGAAAAAACAATGTATCAGAAATAAGCATGACTTTTCACTTGCCTTAAACGAAAGATAATTATTATATGTAGTAATTTAGACTCTGGGACAAGAAAAATAGAGAAGTTGGTAAAGGAGCCCCCAAATAGCCTCTTATGTGTATGAAAATTTGATTTGTAATGTAGATAACACTCTAAATGAGTTGAAAAATGTTAGACTCTACATTAAAGGAAAAATGGTGAAATTGAACCCATTACCCAAAATTCCATTCCAGGAGGATTGACTACTGAAATGTGAAAAGCAAAATATAAAATTTAGAAAACAGTATAGAAGAGTATCTTTATGACCTTAGTTTTTAGAAATTTTCTTTTCAATGAGCCACTTAAGAAAGCAAAACCATAAAGGAAAGGATTGAGAAAGTCTACTACACTAAAATTCAGACCTTCCATCCATCAAAAGAATACCTTTATACCTTTAAGAAAGGGAAAAGACAAACTAGGATCTGGAAAAAAATGTTTAAAAAATAAATAATTGAAAGCAAATTATATAAAAATTATTTCTGTGAGCCAATAAGAAAAGGCTACATATGAGTCATTGGCTTGAACAGGCATGTCACAAGGGGAAACCTTGGTGGTAGATGATGACCACCTATATTAGAATTTAGGAAGTGGAAATTAAAAGCCAAAATGAAATACCATGTCATACCTACTGTATTGATTTAAATCAGATATTTTAAATTTCAGTGAGTATATCAAGTAAGGGGAACTCTTATTGTCTGCACACAGGAAAACAAATTGACCCAACCACTTTTTAAAAACAATTTGGCATTATTTAGTGAAGCTGACAGTTCTATTT